GCTTGGACATTACTGCAAGACCGTTATAATAATAAAAGGGTCTTAGCGTCCACATTAATCGATGAACTTCTAAATCAGCCATCAGGCACATCAACTGTGGCAGCAGTTAAAAATTTACATGACACAACGAAAGAGTGTCTATTAGCACTAAACAATCTTGGCGTTCAAACGACATTTTGGGACCCAATTTTGTTAGGTATAGGTATAGGTTGGAGTGGCGGCCTTGTATCCCAAAAAGCCCACTTAAGCACAAATAAAGGCCCGTTGTGGTACCACAGGAGTTACGTTATTTGTATATAGATTTTAATTAGTATACATTTAACGCCGAAATAAAGGTTGGTTTTCCATTATGCAAAGGAAAACCAACCTGACAGTTCTATGAACTTGGCGAGGTCCCTAACATTACAGGATGACAACTCAGTCAGGTCAGTTAGAAAAGGAGATCCAAGGATTTTTAATCTTCTTCTGGCTAGGGAAGGGCACTGACACATGAGATGGAGTACAGTCTCCTCCTCATCCTCAGAGCCACAGCCTCTACAAAAGTCATTAAAGGGGAGACCTAGTCTCATAGCATGCCTTCCTATTACGCAGTGTCCCGTCAGCACAGATACCGTAGTGCTGAGCAGGTTCCGTCTTAGTTGAAGTAGCTGACGGGTTCTTTTCTTGTCAAAGTTCGGCCAAGTCAACCTAGAAATCTGACATTGAGGTTCGTCAGCCCAGTATTGCTTGGCTATACTCAGGTATTTTTGTATGATTGCCAGTTTAGCTGTAGCAAGAGGGACGCCTATATCAGAGAGGTTAATGTTAGGGAGAAGAGCACCTGCCTTGGCTAGATCGTCTGCCCTACAATTTCCTGTGATATCCCTGTGACCAGGAACCCAAATAAGTTTGACCCTAACAAACCTAGCTAGGTCATTTAGTGAAGCACGGCAGTCTTGAGTTGTGATTGATGTGGCTGAGGTGCCAATCAGTGATCTGATGGCAGCTTGGCTATCAGAAAAAATTGAGATTGGTAAATCGGATGTTCGATTGCATAGAACCCATTTTACAGCTTGGTGAATTGCCATTATTTCGGCTTGAAAGACGCTACAGTGGTTCGGAAGTCGAAGCGAGATGCTGACACCCAGTCTTTCAGAGAAAATGCCACAGCCGACTCGTTTATCTATTTTGGACCCGTCCGTGTAAATGTCAACCGTTTGGAGAGGGATCGCTCTTTCAAGGATCCAGTCCTCCCTGCTAGGTATAAGAGATTCGAACCCCCTAATTAGGTCTGGGTAACAACACATGTAGTCAATAGAGACAGGAGTTGGCAGATCCTGATTCAGTATGATCGCGTGGCCTATATCAGTTCTTGACCAGCAGGAGAGGGCGTTGAGCCTAGTTGCAACTATTTTGGCTTGCTGTTTTACCAGAAGCCGAGATGGCAACCAATGAAGCATAGCGAAAAGAGCTTGCGTGGGGGTAGAGCGAAGAGCACCAGTGATTTGTAGTGCGGCTATCCTCCTAGTTTTGTCAATTAATTTGGTGTGGCATGCTTTTTCAGTTGCCTGCCACCAGAAAGCAGCCCCATACAGAAGAATTGGTTCGATAACAGCTGAATAGAGCCAGAGTATAATGCACGGTTTGAGCCCCCAACTGCGACCTATAGCTCTTCTGCAACAGTAGGTGGCGCATATCGCTTTGCGGGCTCTCTCAGCCAAGTTGTCTTTCCAGCTGAGTTTAGAGTCCAAAATTATACCCAGATATTTGACGTTCGAACTTAAATTTAGAGTAACGCCCTTTATCTTTGGTAAGGAAAATGTCGGAATTTTATATTTTCTGGTGAAGAGAATAACCTCTGTCTTTGCAGGGTTAATATCCAGACCGAATTCCCTACACCATTCAGTTACAATGAGGAGCGCAGAGTTAATAACATTGGATAGAACTTGGGGGTATTTGCCAGATGAGGCAATAGCAATGTCGTCCGCATAAGCTATAACACTACATCCGGATTGTTCCAAAAGTTTTAACAACGAATTAACCGCTATGTTCCATAGAAGAGGAGAGAGAACCCCACCTTGTGGCGTTCCCCGACAGACTGCTCTGGAGGATTGAACACTTCCGATGTCGGATGTGATAATCCTAGTTTTGAGAAGGGCCTCTACAAATTTAACCAGACTATTGTCGAGATTTAACTTTGAGAGGGATTTTATGATACCATTGGGGCAGACATTGTTGAAAGCGCCCTCAATATCGAGAAAGGTGGCAAGTGTGTATTCCCTGAGAGAGATGGAATGGTCAACTTGCGAGATGAGTGCATGAAGCGCAGTATCGACAGACTTGCCTTTAGTATAAGCATGCTGTGATGAAGATAAGAGCGCTGGGTTTATCTTGTTCCTGATATGCAGATCAAGAACTCTCTCCAGTACTTTCAGAAGAAAAGAAGACAGACTGATTGGTCTATAGTCCTTGGCACTGCAGTGAGTTATTTTTCCTGCTTTGGGAATGAATATTACTCGAGCCACTCTCCAGCAGCTTGGAACATACATAAGCTTAATACAACTGTTGTAAATGCTTAGAAGCCAGGGGAGGATTACGAATTCACCCTGTTGAATATCTGCGGGAATAATTCCGTCCGGACCTGGAGATTTATACGGTTTAAAAGTTTGGATAGCCCACTTTATTTGAGTGTTGGTCACTTGAAACGGATTAGGATTATTTAGAGGGGGTAAGCTGATTTGAGTTGATAAGTCAGCATCAGAGGCTATACTCCCTGGGAAGTGCGAGTACAGAAGGATGTCGAGAGTTTCCTTACTGGAGTTGGTCCATTGACCATTTGGAGCCTGGATACAATCGAGTGTCTTATGGGTGGAATTGAGGATTTTGCGCAGTCGGCTTGACTCGGAAGATGATTCTATGTTGCCACAGAAATTTTTCCAAGCTGCCCTTTTGGCCCGCCTAATGGCGTATTTAAATTCTCTTTGTTTCACTTTATATGGAGTCCAGTTGCCTGTTGATTTAGCATCGTTAAAAAGTTTTCTACAGGTTTTTCGGAGGTCTGCAATATTTAAGTTCCACCATGGAGGTTTGGGCTTGCCTCTAAATTCGGGTGGCTTGCAGGCCGCAATTTGTGGCGCATCTAAATGCTGATGTGAGAAGGTCAACCGCTCGATCTATATCGGAACAGTTGAGAATAGTGGGAGGGTCCAACTGTAAGTTGGATTCCAGGTTGGCTCGAAAAATGGGCCATACAGTACGTTTCCTATTTATTGGTTTAGATGATCTGTTCATTTCAGGGTTCTCCACAAAATTTAGATCAAAATTAATGTACCTATGGTCAGAAAAGGAGCAATCTTGCGATACGGACCACTTAGTAATAAAATAAGAGAAGTGCTCGCTTATCATGGTGATATCAAGAACTTCCCTTCTAATTGAGTTCATGAAGGTTGGCTCCCTACCTATGTTAGCGATCACCAAGTTTCCTGCAAGAATGAAATCAAATAAACACTCACCTCTCGCGTTTGTATCTGTGCTACCCCACATCTCATGATGTGCGTTGGCGTCAGCTCCTATGATCACCGGGATCCTCCTGTTATTTGCCTCTGACACCAGAAGCTTGAGGGAGTCCTGTGGCGGAGTGGCACCGTGATCGTGTGCCATATATGCTGAGACAATCCAAAGGGCCTTGGAGTCGTATTCGATGGCCATGGCTACATTGTCATTGTCACTGAACCTAGGGAGTAAAAAGGCATTAATGTTATTTTTTACTAGAATGCAAGATCTTGGTTTACCTTGACCTTCTGTGAATACTAACCGATAGCCGTTTGTATTCAGTCCACAAACCCGATTGTTTGCAATCCAAGGTTCTTGGATCAGCATTATGTCCTCTCCTTTTTCAGCTAGGCGGAGGGTAAGGGCTGCCGAAGCAGTTTTGGAGTGTTGGAGGTTAATTTGGACGACCTTCAACAGCTTAGTTGTTTTTCAACTATGGTACTGTCTAGTTCATCCTCATCCGACATCGGTGAGGTCTCCCGGGAAAGCGCCATACCTGTAAAGAACTCGCCGACCAGTTCGGAAGACGAGATTACGCTACCTCCGTCTTCGGAGGAAGGAGTGCCGATTAAATCGGAAGTCCCTACATCGGGGTTGATTGGAACTGGGATGGAACCGATTCCGTCATCGGAGATCGTTTCCGAAGGTGCCCCCCAGAAGGTTGCTGCTTAGCGGCTTGAGAGTCACTTTTGTAGACACGTAGAGTGACCGAACCGAAGCCATAGTGAATCACCCCATTTCGGGCTTGAAGGGGTGCCAAAGATTCTTCGTTGAGAACTACGACGGCTTCGACAAAGTCGCCCTTGGGGTCATTGACCTTCGCAACTTTCCAGTTATGCGTGGGGAGGTCAGTGTTACTGGCCCTTAAAAGGGAAAGAATTTCCTCAGGGGAAGTAAGCTCCGAAGGAAGCCACACTTTGGAGCGGGGGCGTTGTGGGATATTTTCCACCGAAACAGCTCTGAGCTGTGCGCAGGGCCAGAGTTCCCCAACCTTTTCGATCGCCTGCTTATAAAGATCCGCGGAGCGCTGGTCTGAGCAGGCAATAATTTTAATATGACCCTGGTACCATCCAGCGTCTTTACAGCTGGGAGATGGCCCAGGGTTGAGGGCAATGATTTCCATATATATTTTGAGGAGAGCCCGTTCGACTTTCTTCCAGTTTGCTGGAGAGATGGTGCCATCACTGTTGCCAGCGTCGATGATGGCCCAGGTCAGGCTCTCTTTAACTATTTCGCTGAGAGGTTTGGACAGCGATGGGGGTCTCGGAGGACCAAATTTGGGGCGCTTAGGAGCGCTAGTCGAAATTGATTTCCCAGCCTGCTCAATCGACCTTTGTCGTTTCTGAGCAGGTGCAGAGGTAGAAGCGATGTCGGAGGGCCGAAGATTGACATTTTCCCTTGCCCACTTTAGTGATGCCTTATCGCTCTCTGAGAGCGAGGAAGGATCCGCGGCATTGAGCCTAGAGAGGATGCGGTATGCTGACCTTCGCGCCCTATACGCCCTTGTCGAGGGGTTAGGGTGGGAGCGTGTACCAGAAGTTGAGTTGGTACTAATTGCAGATGGTGCGGTTGGCGCATTAGCTTTGACCGCAGCACTAGCAGAAGAGCAGGAGACAGCATTACCACCTGGCACAGTTGTCAAGGTGTTCAATGATGGAGCATTGCTTGTACGAACCGCCTGAGCAGAAGCTCTAGACGGTTGGTTGTTAATAGGCGCTTGCCTTATAAGACTTGAACGCCCCCCTGAAGGGTTAGGAGTTTTAAAAGGTTTATTGGAATTTTTGTTTGCTTTGTTCATTCTAAAAGGGTCCCCACTCAAAGCCGCTATCTGACACCCGTAAGTGTAGTTCCTGATAAAAAGAAGTCCCATGGTTATCTATGCAACTGCAGGGAGGCCATGCGAGGGGTTGGCACAGGTCCTTATGAGAGCAAGTGCTCAGAGCCAGACCAGAACTAATCGGGAGCTAAGCTACAACCGAACCTACCCGACCAACTTAATGGTGACGGATGCAGAACGTACCTTGAGGCCTTCCAGGGTTTTAACGGGACGGAGGCAGCCACAGACTTAGCCTGGAGCCGTTCACACGCGAGTTTCACCCCGGTGCTACCGTGTCAGAAGACAGCTAGGTCCAGAAACCTGTGACCACCAGCCCAAAGCGATCAAATACAAAAAAGAGAATCTGAAGAAGCGTGGTCCGAGGACAAAAACGGTCGTTATCAGAGGATGCTGGAGCCCCTGAAGAGGACAGCATCCAGGGGGGGAATAGATCATTTGGCGTTACCCAGGGTGCACTACGAGGAGGCGATCTAAGACTACACCCCATTTTGTTACAGGTACTAATTAAAAAACTCGATCGGGCGATGCTCATTAGATATGAGCAATCTCTGGCAAAACCAAACGAGATACAAAACATTCAGGAGTTTTTAGCCTTTTTAGAACTACAGTTTCAACTGATGGAAGTTGTAGAACAAAAAGATAAGGTGGCTATAGAAATTAAAGCAAATCGAAATAACTCAGTGTCATCGGCTGTAACAGTTTCTAAAGGAAACAACAATTGCAAACTGTGCAATGTAGACAGGCACCCACTGTATCATTGCCGTAAATTCTTGCAATTTTTACCATCTCAATGATTGGATTGGGTGAAAAATCAACAGCTCTGCTTTAACTGTTTCAGAAATGATCATGTGGTGAACAAATGTTTATCAAGAAGTTGTACCAAATGCAATAAAAAGCATAACACGTTGCTACATTTGGAAGTTAACAATCAAACAAAACAGAACATTCAACCTAGCTCAAGTGGGTGCAACACCGCAGTTACCACAGCGACAGCAAACACATCCACAGGTCATCGTGATTATGTTCTCTTGCCAACTACAAGAGTCAAAATAACTGCATCAAATGGAAATACAAGTGAAGTCCGAGCATTACTAGACTCTGGTTCGCAAGTGAACATAGTCTCTGAGCGTCTTGTCAAAAGGCTCAATATATCAAAAACAAAATCGTTATTGTGCATAGAAGGTATAGGAAAGGTGCAAAAAAATTCAACACAGCGAGTTAACATCAAATTGCAATCACTTAACTCAAGGTTTACTACAGAAGTCGAAGCGTTTGTGCTTCCAAATATAGTTCCACCTCAACCAAGTTGCAGCTACGATATTTCCAAATGGAAGGTCCCGAACAGCATTCAGTTAGCAGATCCAACATTTTTCCAACAAGGGAAAATTGATATTTTACTCGGTGCGGAGTTCTATTTTAGTCTGTTAAAGAAAGGTAAATTAACGCTTGCTCCTGGGCTTCCAGTCTTGCAAAATTCTACACTTGGCTGGATTGTCAGTGGCAAGGTTGCATCAAATACAGACAAATCAAACGTTTTAGGTGCAGTTTTTGGCGGTGGGGCGGAGGTTGTTGATAATAACTCATCGTTAGAAAATGCAATTGAACGATTATGGCGAATGGATGAGGTGAATACAACAGAAAGGACATTATCCAAAGAAGAAAAACTATGCGAATCTCTTTTTGTTCAGAACGTCCATACAAATAAAGGACGCTTTGTGGTACGGTTGCCGTTTCTGGAAAACTCATTGACGTTAGGGGAAACTCAAGAAACAGCTTGGAGAAGGTTCATCAGTCTTGAACGACGACTAGCAAAAAATGATGTTTTGCGGAAACAATATGTCCAGTTTATGGAAGAGTATGAGCGATTGGGTCACATGACTGAAGTAAACTTGGATTCCATGTTGACTCCAAGATATTTCATTCCTCATCATTGCGTACTAAAACCAGATAGTACAACTACTAAACTTCGAGTGGTGTTTGACGCATCAGCCAAAACTACATCTGGACACTCGTTGAATGATTTAATGTATAACGGACCGACAGTTCAAAGTGAACTCTTTTCAATTCTGCTCCGTTTTAGGCGACCACGGTTTGTTTTCACCACAGATATCGAGAAAATGTATCGTCAAGTTTTCATAAATCCTAAAGATCGACGCTGTCAACTTATCATTTGGAGAAGCAGTCCAAATTCAACGATTCGTTATTATCAGCTAAACACAATTACATATGGGACTCGAGCAGCTCCTTACCTAGCAACAAGATGTCTGCAAAAGATAGCATCAGAAAACAAAGTGAATTATCCATTAGGAGCTCAAATCCTGTGTGACAATTTCTACGTTGACGATGGGCTCGGTGGATCAGATAGTTTAATTACGGCTATTGAAGCTCAAAGACAACTAATCCATATTTTGAAGAAGCATCATTTTTGTCTTCGGAAATGGAGCGCAAACCATCCTCAACTTTTGAAAAACATTTCTCAAGATGATCAAGAGGTGAATCTAGATTTCGATAATAACGAGTCCATCAAAACGCTGGGAATATTTTGGTTGCCCAAAGCAGATTTATTTGGAATTAAGGTCACAATGGTTATTGATGGTATAATCACGAAGAGAGTCGTTAGTTCTGATTTAGCTAGACTGTTCGACCCACTTGGTTTATTAGCTCCAGTAATAGTCAAAGCAAAGATTTTCATACAACACTTATGGCAGTTGAAATTATCTTGGGATGAACCACTTCCTACAGATCTTCGTACAACATGGTCAACATTCAGAAAAAACTTAAGTACTCTTGAAAATCTTCAGGTGGCAAGACATATCTTCAGAGGCGAGGTTCCATCATCAACACAGCTACATATTTTTGCTGACGCATCTGAAAAGGCATTTGGTGCTGCAGCATACTTCCACGCCAGTTTGCTATCCACAATTACTCCAAGGTATTTCGTTTGATTTTTCAGTGGCAAAAGAGTTCCGTTTAAGTTAAGTGGCGTCCATGCTGTGACCTTGTACTTTCTTGTGAAAAGTATTGTGTCAGTTTTTTCTATTATATCCGTTAATTTCGATAAAACATTATTCCATCTTGTAATTTCCTTTTCAATCAAATGTTGTTCTTGACAATATATTGTTTGTTCTGTTTTTAATCGTGTTTCAACATCAATCCACTTAAGATAAAATTTCTTGTGAGAAAAGCTATTTTCATGCATTTTTAATAAGTGTTTCGGGTGAGTGTTTCCAATTGTTTTATCCTTCAGATATTAAGTTCGTCACTGAGCTTCTATCAAAAAGCCGACAACAAAAACAATAAACCCGATCTTTAGAAACAGAGTAATCAGCGACGCTTTATTGTTTCATTATTAATAATTTCGAAGAATAAAAAGTAGGGAAATGTAGCTCGGTGTCATTCTTTGCATAATCATCAATATAAATGTGCACTGGACCCGCAGTTGTGATATAATCAATTAATTTATTATTTCGCACTGGTGTCCAAGTAGCTGGATCCGCTACTAACATCACTAACGTCATTGTTTTACCCATAGGTGTCTAAATCTTGTAATTGATCACTAGTGCCAACATTTTCAGTAAAATTTGACCCTGCAGCACAAGAAGCTTCTTTAGACTTTTGCAAAACTTCGTCAACAGGTACTGTACTTGTCGAAGACTCCACGACAGAAATATAATTTTGCATGTGTGATTTAGAAGGCACGTTTCGATTTTTTATTGTAATATATTTATTAATGTTCATAAACTTTTTAGGTTCTTTATATTTAGCTTCTTTTTCCATCTTCTGTTTTCTATGTTGTGCTACAAATGGTTTTTTTGCACTACTTACGTTTTCAGACATTTTAATAAAAGTTAACTATATAATATGGTAAAAGTTGCTTAACCAAGTTTATTGTTTTTCTTACTGAAACAAATAGTATTTTAACGGATGAATGCGAACGAAAAGCAGAAAAGTAGAGTGAACTCTTTTTCTTAGGCACGGTGCACACTAGTGGAAAATAATACTTTACGCTTAGTGCACACTAATAAATAATGCCTACTGTTTACTATATAAAGAAGAGGTATTAAATAACTTAAGTTTAAGTAAGGTTGGAAGTGAAAAGACTTAATTGAAAAATGTTTTTTTACGTCGATCTGGCGCCCCTTTACTTTTGGTGCCCCTGGGCTGTCGCCCCACCTCGCCCAGCCCTAACGCCGGTACTGCCAACAGGGCAACCCTGAATACAGTGTAGTGGAGAAAGGTATGAAGGAGTAAAGTAGCATCAGTTGTTGAGTTGTGATAGTTGAAAATAGAAGTCGAGAAGGCGTCGCGTGTTTGAATATTACTTTTTATTTTATATTACTGATTATGTTACATTACCTGTTAGATATTAAAAGTAGTTAAAATATATTAAATTTGGGTACTCAACCGTAGAGCAAAACACATTGTCAAAATAGTGCATAGTGATTTTGTAAATTACGTATATCATATATAAAAAATACATAAGAGTATAAAAAGAAAAAACAAAGCCGTAAGCTGGACACAAAAAGCGAACACGTAATAAATGAAAAAAGGGCGGAAGAAGTAGACGTACAAAATGTTGCAGAAAAAAAACAGCAAGAACAACAATATTACACACGTTTGCAGGCCTTGAGAAGGGGATCGTTCAGTACCTTGCATGGAAGAGAAACAGCAGCTAAAAGTACGGAGAATAAGAAACTGAGAAATCAGAATGAATTGCTACACTAATTGAAAAAATGGATACAGAAGAAGTACCAGGGGGTCTATTCCGCAACTGTGCAAACTGAAGTATTCACAAAAATTTGTTTACATTTTAATTTTACTATTCCTCAATTGTGAATAGTGTGTTTATCTGTCAAAAAGTATACACTTTTGTCAAATTTAATTCACCGTATATTTGACCGTGAGTTTCTAAAAAGCAGAAGCAAGTAACAAGCAACGATTATATATAAATTTGTATTATTATTTTTTTATATGTTTTAGATATGGAAAAAGGCAAAAAAGTAAGCGAGCAGCAAAAGCTTGTACTTGTGGAATTTATGCGAAATAATATTTATTTTGCAACGATAGGTAAAGTAGAAATTTTATGTTATCTGCAGAACCCTATTCAACCTGCAACATCACAGACCACGCAGGAAAAGAGGTCGCTATATGAAACAATTAGGCAGCGAAAAATGAAATCAAGACCTAGTAACGGCAGCCTTTCGATAGAGGAGAGAGTTTTTTCTCTGGAAGAAGAAAAATTAAAGTTCGAAAAAGAAAAATTCGTTGCAAAACAAAATTATCTAAAAATATTATCGAATTTAAGCAAAAAAGTTGGAAGAATTCGCTGTAAAGCAAGAGTTCCTTAACAAAATAATTGAATTGAAGCAAAAGAAGTTAGAATTTTTACAACAAGGTTATAATACATAAACGTTTAATGAAGTATTTTATATTAATATATAGCTGTTATATTATTATTGAGTTTATTAAGTTTATTATTAATAAGTTTGTGTAATTAAAATAAAAATTTTTTATACTATTTAATTAAAAAAATATGTATCAGTAATTTGCTGCCTTTCACTTCTGCTTTGTAACAAGTAATTATTATTTGCGAAACTAGTACTTGGAAGCGTATCAATATTCCTCTCTGGTATTTCCCTTTCTATTTCGTCGTTGGGTAGCAATGACATTTTTTTGCGCATTAATATGTAGTGTAGTATAATGCGGACATTTATAATTGTCCCTGCTTTAGCAGAATCATAATGCGGAATTCTTTCAGGTGATAGGCATCGAAATCCACTTTTTAAAGTTCCAATACAGCGCTCAACTAAATTTCTTGCTTCCTTGTGAAATTTATTATTCCTCACTTGGATTATTACATTCAGCAAAAGCAGTCATGAGCCATGGATGTAATAGAAAACCACTGTCACCCAAAAACCATTAAATCCCTCTATCTTGCATATACATGGACTTTAAATATTCTTTTATTGCCGAGATAGAGTCACATATTATTCAAACTTCGCATAAAAATCTTGTTTTATTTTAATTTGCTCCTGTAAATCAGGAAAGTATGCGTGGTGTTTTGATATTTCAATCAAAATATCCACTGTTTCAGTAATATATCTTGATACTGATGTCTGAGATAACGCATATAAAAAGTCTTGACCGAGACCATACTGATAAGATCCTAAAGCAAAGAATCGCAAAGCGGTTAAAAATCGTAAATGTACTGACACTGACGATATGCGCTCAGGCACGTCAAATTTTCCTTTAATACAATTTAAAAACTCAATGAGTAACTCTTTTGAAAACCTATATAAACTAAAAAAATGGGTTCCGGAGATTTCAAATAGATTTTGATTATCTCTAAGATGGCTTCTTGTTGCATTCAAAAGGCACCTAAAAGTATATTTTTTAATATTTACACATTAATCGTTCCTTCAATTTTATATTAATCGAACTTGTTTCTTTTCCTCGTTTCTATTAATATAATATACAACATCTTGTTTGTTTGTCTATTGCAATTATGGAATTTAGTTTATTGTAAATACAAATGTATTTACTAACAGCTGTTAAAAATACATTTAGCACGCCATAGTTTGACATTCAGCACGTTATAATTTTACATTCAGCACGAAAAACTCACTAGCACTTCGGAAATACCATTTCACAAGAAAGTGTAAACTGCGGTGAGAAATAAGTTTTTTGTTTTCGTGTACACAACATTTTTTTTACAGTTGCGGAATCGACCCCCAGCTCCCAGTAGTGAAAAAATAGACAAAAATATTGTTGGAACTGCAGTAAATGATGTTGAAATGAAAAACACCACAAATACAGAAACTGAAAATGTTTTTGGAACTGAATGTGAAGAAATTAAAAACTAAATAGATATTGATAAGGCTGAATTATCTACTGAAAAACGTACTGTGAATTCTGTGGAAATCACAAAATTAGTAAAAGATAACTTTGATGCGAATGTTGATCGATAAGAAACAAATAGTTACTGATTGCACTGCATTTATTCAGACAGTTAAGAAGAAAAATGTTCAGCGTGAAGTAGCTCAATGGTTATTACATCTCCACGTGTTGTGATTTAAAGATAACAGTAGATTCTTTTCACGACATAAGAATTAATAACGTAATTTCAATTATTAATAAAGTAAAATTGAAAGTGTTTTAAGTAATAACACAGACAAATAATATACAGATTGCGAATGCAGAACAAAAAAATGACTTCCTTTAATTTCATGGTAGCCAGCTCGACTGCCTTAAGGTCTTAAGGTTCTCCGTACATTAAGGTCTTTGATAAGATGAATAGAAAATTAGCTTTCGAAATGGTCATTAGTGACCGATTAATTTGGAGAAACAATGAAATTAACTTAAAACAGGGCTCTCACTTACGGTATACTGATGGGTCCAAGACGGAAGATTGCGGTGCAGGATCAGGAATCATTGGTCCAGAGCCCTCCTGCGGGTTAACAGATAGTTTCATAAATAACTTATTATGTGAACTAGAGAAACAATATCTACTTGAACACTGGAGAGCCAAAGCAGGCATGCAGCAGTCAAGAAGATTGGCCTTAGCAGAAACGATTATAAATTTGATGTTGAAACGATGTCAACTCTTTCATGAGGAGAAGGAAACATCAGAACATGTTCTATGCAATTGCCCAGCGGCGGCAAGATGTAGACTCGATTACCTTTGGTAGGTCCCAAATCAAATAGGTAAAATTAAGTTCACTGCAATTATAAGATTTATAAATAGTCTAAAATTGTCCTAGTTGGGCCTATAAGCGCACAATAGATCTTTTAGGTCGGGGTGCACAAATAGACTATTTTAAATAATAAATTGTTTATTAAGACAGGTGGAATGTTTTGTAGTAAATGTGACTTGGCCAGATTTTGACTCATTTAGTTTGATACGGAAAATTTTTCATCTAACAGAGCAACATTGTTAAGGCAAGTT